GAAAATCTCTGCATAGCACAAAGGAGACATCTTCTGCACCTTTATAACTATGGACTATACTAGCTTACCAGCTGAAAGAGAGCTGCTCTGCCCCCATTAACAAACGTTACAAAGCCGTTCTACCCATTTAACACCGGATATTAGTGAGCATACAGCTTCAGCACAGTTACAGTATCAACAAAATGAATACTATGAGAGGTTCCTTTAGATCTTAACTTGCTGATCAATAATTTAACTTTTATTTCCATTACCATGATATTATAAAAGGTAAAAAAGAAATGGGAGAGAGGAAGGAACAGCTTAACCAACCCGTAAGTGTCAGCTCCAGAGATCGTACAAGAGAAACTCTGGCATGAACAAATGGCAGCCATACAACTATTTAAACAAGCGTAAAATACATTACTGCTTGTCACAGTGACAGAACACTTTCGTTTACGTGCGCTGTAGTAACATACACGTTCTAGATGTCAAATTCCTAATTATTTAAAGAGTTGTACAAGTGCAGTGAAGTACTGGCCAAGTAGCACAATACCATGAGGTATGCCATGAGCTTTAATTTAACCTAGTAACTTATTTCAAAAAGAAAGCAAATTTCTATGCTGCTTTTGGACTTGACAATACATACCCCTGTGGCACATACTCATTGAAAAATTTTGACTGAGAACTTTTTTTTTGAACATAAAACTCCTCAGTGGTGAGGATTTTAAGCTCCTTAAACACAGCCTCGTTGGAATAGGAAACAAAACAAGTGAAGAATTCTAGATAAATTTAAGTTTTATATATTATAAGAATTTAACTAGACTTGCAGAGGCAGCATATCACTCCCTTAGACAGTCCTTAAAAGGCTTGTTTCAAAAATGCAGAGGCAGAGTTAGTACCTGCTCTGGTCTGAGGCCTGGGGGGACCCAGGCATATTCTTCCAAGGCACATCCGGAGTCATCGTCAGATGTTGAGCTTCGCTGACACCCAAAAACGAGATTGTTAGCTTTGGGCTCCATCTCCAGTGGCATAAGTGTGAAGCGTTAAATATTTCAGATGCAGCTCATCAAGCAATTGATCTGGAAGAAGAGATTAACACAGCTTTAATAAATTTGAACATGCAACAGCTAATTATCAGTGTAAATGATCTTAAAACAGTTGAGTATCCCTTGTGTTGCCCAGAACAGTAAATGACTGAAACATCATTACAACTTGCTACAAGCAATTCAAAAGTGCTTAAGACAGTTATAAAAATAAAACTACTCAAGAAAAACAAAACAAAACAAAACTACTAGACACACACTACCACCTTTGGCAGCCACAGTCTATTTCAATATTAACACCTGTCACCTTTTACACCTCTGCTTTTTTCACATCACAGGTTATACCTAGGTATATCTAGGAAAGACTCATTGGGCAGATACTAACAAAAGGTATTACAGGAGCTCTTCCTGAAGTCGTTACTGCCACCAATCTAGTAACACAAAAGACATGACAATCGCTTGTCAAAAAACTAAAGAAATTGTTGGGGACAGACAGTTGTGCAAGTAGCGTCCTGTTTTTCACAAGGTAGCCACAGAGCAGTGAGCATCTCCTGGATTCCTCCGAGAACTCTGTTTTAGCTGTATTGGAGCGGAAGGGTGTTGGTCCAGTTAAAAATCTGAAATCCAATTATGCCAGATTAGGCTCTGTAAAATACATCGTGATTGCTCTGTTAATTTAAAAGCCTACAGGGAGATGCTTCTGTTGATTCACAAAGCCTGCAAAGCTTAGTATCAGTGGGATCATTTTGAGTCACAACTGGCAAAGAAGGTTCTTGCCAAAATGCATAGCATTCTGCAGTAAAAAGCTTATTAAGATAGACATCTTACATTAAGTCTAGCAGAAGTTCTTAGGAAATTCAGACTAGGAATTTCAATGAAATACAGGTTACCAAAAGCAGAGAGGATGTATCTGATCAAGCTTGCTTTTATAGTACAACATCACACATGAGCTGTGCCTTCCCCGTTTTAGGCGTTTCTTTCACCTATTCATCTAAATACAGATGCAATTTGAGCTGTCAGAAATTTTCATCTCCTTGACATATAACCTTGCTGGTTATACGCTAAAGGGGAGAGCAATGTAAAAACTTCTGGTGGGTCCCACATTACATTTCCAGTCTCATCACCACTATATTAGAGAAAATAAATTTCTGCTAGATCACAGGTGGAAGAAAGATTTAAGACCGCATACCCAAGTATTCTTCTCATTACCCAACAGGAGTTTGGTCTCCTTCAAGCATGAGCCACTGGTTAGTGCAGGCTCTGTTGATTCAGTATGTAAACCCAAACCTGCTCCATAAAAAGTAGCTACGTGCATCCAAAACTACAAACTTGGAGAAATGACGATATTCAGTATTACACAGTATATCTACTCCCATTTTCAATATCTCTATACATCCCCATACCCAATAAAAAGAGATGGGATTACTTAAGTCTTCCAGTGGGCTAGTGCTCAAAAAAATTAACCTTTTTGTTAACTTTACTCCAAAAACTTTTGGTTCAAAAACATATGTGCTATTTTTGGTGCACTGCTAAGATGCCAACGCACTTCTATTACATTGCATAGCTGCACTGTAATAAAAGATTCATTTAATATTTGATGGGGCAAGCAAACCTGCCAGCCTCCCCTTTGAGAACAGGCTATTTCTACAAAGCTTGTCAGCTGTCAGGCAAATTTCTGAAATCTTACTCTAGCTGAACGACTTAAGGTTAGCAAAACAGCTTCTGAGCTTAGCATCACCATATCACATCTCTGTCAAGGCAAGTGAGTAAAGCCAAACTCAGTCCTAAAAGCTCAATCCGATATATTTAAAATAGAAAGATGGACATCCTGGTACATACTAGATGCTCTGATTTAGTTTCCTTCAGAAATAAATGATAAAACAAGTGATACAAAACTGTCTCTCATCTCTATATACTAGTGAAAATTAAGTCAAGTATCAGGTATGTTTTTGTTATTGCTTGTATAAAACTGGGGTGCGAGGAAGGAGAGACAGAGGAATACTGAGATGCAGTTAAGAAATCGTGCTAGCAAAAAAAGACAACAGGGCTCACTGTTGCAGACGGACGGGGATGCTCAGGTTGGCAGCTGGTGTCCCACATCATCTATACTCAAATAAGTCTTAAGTATAAAATCACTATGAGTATCACTGAGAAGCCCAAGCCCTCCCAAGATGATGTTAGCAGCAGATGAACTGTTTTACAATTTCCCTTCAGAAAGGAGTAGGTATCTGGTTTACAATGATGTGCCACTTGCTGACGCCTAAGCTGTGATTTCCAATTCTTATGGCATTGCATCACAAGAACTTGTGTTGGTCAGATTGTCACTTTCAAGAACCGACTCCTGCCCAGTAACCCAGGAATACAAGGAGTCACTAGATGAAACATCTTTGCCAACACTTCATTAGGCAGCCCGACCTCAACCGCACCACAGGAAGTGGATCCGAAATGTAATTTAGGCAAAGAGACAGGTTCAGCTCTGCAGTCCCTGGGCACTGGAGCGAGGTGTACTCCGGCCCGCTCGCATGACACCCAACAATCACAAGCACATCAGGTAATTGAGTAATTGCTTCACATTGCTCATCCAAAAACTCCTCTGTAAGATCGAAGATTAACTTCTCCGACTTATTTTCTTCTTTTGAAAGACAAGGAAACAAAACAAAATTGGAATGCGTGAGACTTGTTAGCTTTTCTGGGGATTTTTGAACTCTAAGTCTACGTGCTACTTCTACGTGGCAAAAAGCAGCACTGGGCAACTTTGAGATTTGAAGTATAGCAAAGGTACGTAAGCACAGGAGTGTTGCCTAATTCCAAAGGAAGACAAGGCATTGGTATGAGAGAGATCACACTGCTTTTTCCACCGAGACTGATCCTGCCTTGATCATCTTTGACCCGTCCATTTCAGACAGCACACACGCCAGCTCCAACAAGAGAAAACCACAGACCCACAGGCCCATTTTCCCGGTGATACAGGGCAGGTCGAAAGCACGGCTGGTAGAGAATATAGGAAAAATACACCTCACCTCCAACTGTTAAACGCAACTTTACAGTCAGGGTGCTCCTCCCCAGATAAGGCAATTGGAAATGTTTAAAGCGAGGTTCATAAATCTCAATGAACCGAGATTACTCAAAGGACAGCACTCACTTTAAAAGAAAAACGCTACCATGGAGCTACCATTAAGCCAGCTATAAAATGACTGACAGCGCACCATATATCAATATGGCCGTATCACAAATATTGTGGTGTTGCTGAGTGAGGTTTCTGAAACAGCCTAGCTTAACAGCAGGCTGTCTGCAGAACTATTTTAGCAACTGCTTGTTTAGGAGTTCTCCTTCCTCTCCCGCTCAAGCGTAATTTGGTTTGCATTTTAAAACTACACGGTTCTTCCTCCCTTCCCCCCAACCGCACTCATCCTTCAAAGTGATCTGTTTAAAATGATTACATCTAAGGAGGATTCAAATGAATATAAACAACAGCTGAAAAAATAAATGCTTTCCGAGGGGTGAGTAGAAAGGTGGTCTTTCTACTCCTGCCACGACATCCACAAAACACAGCAAGGATGTTTTGCTTTGCTTTCTTGATGTCTGTGGAACATTTTGAAGTTTCAGCTCTGTTTAAATACTACCTCTCAAAAAAAGCTTCATCGCCTACAAGGAGGTATTTCACTGGCAGCTTGACAACCATAAATAACATAATTGAATTACACAGCTAAATTTCATTTAAAAAGAAAAGCAATTAATACATTTTTTCCACTGATGCATTACAACGGCCATATTATGACAAAGTTCTTAAAAGTGAGGACGAACCACACTCCTAATTACAAACCTACTGGTACAGAAAATATTAGGATATCAAATCTAAGAGTAAAGCTATTGCTGAACCCCATATGAGGGTAATCCCTGTGCTAGGATTTCCAGCTCACTGATTATGTTCACCCCTGACCAGATAGAAGAGGTCATGATTTGTAAGCACAGTTAGACAAACATCTCCTTGCCCATCCCCTGCTGTTTTACTCTGTCCTGCAGGGCAAATTGTTTAACAACTTTTTTGTTAGAAGGCTTGTTAACAAGGCTATAGGGGATACGAGATGCATATCACATGCATCCATTCACAATGAAGGCTCAACGAGTTAAGATTAGCATGGCCAGCCCATTCACCTGCTTATTTAATCCCCGGTGCATGCTAACTACATTAGGAGAGGAAAGGTGTAATAAACCGTCATAAAATAACTACTAAAGACTATTTGCAATATGTATTACGATCAGGAAGTCCCGTTCCCTAGCTACAGTACAAGTAACAAATTTACAGACAGCTCTATAGCTCTGCACTCGGGAAACCTGGATCCAGAGTTGAAGAGCAGAGTTTATGGCAGCACCAGCACACAGCAGCTTCTTCAGCTGTTGGGTCCCGTGAGTAACTGAATTATCCAGAGCAGAAAATTTCTTCCCTAAACAGACCTTTAGATGGACCCTACATGTAAGAAAATAACTTTTTTTTTTTTTGCCTTTTCTTAGCCAGCGCTCAGGGACTGACAGAAGAGTTAACCGTGTTCCTCCTCTAGCATCCCTAGCGCAAAGGTCACTTTTCCAACTGGAAACCGGACTGTCCTTCTCAGGGCATTTTCTTTTTTGACAGGCTACCTGCAGTTAACAAAAGGGGGAAGCACCGTGACAGAGCATCGCCCCACGCCAACACGTCTGATGTGGATGTATTGTGCCTGGCGCTGCGCAGCGCTGATGGAAATACCAGCGCACGGTGCAG